CATTACCATTAAAGTAACCACTTCTATTTATTTTGTAAAATAATTGTAAGGTTTTGGAAAATAAGTCACTGAGACAAACATGTAAATAATCTTGCATTAAGACACGATTTAGAGCATGAGTTCTAGCAGTCTTTCGTAACGAATGGATAACATATATGCATCATGCGAGAAGCTGAGAAATTGATTTTTCGGTATACAAGACCGAGAAGCTCATCCATAGCGCAGTTCATCGTAATTCGTCCGCACAAATTAAGAAGTAGTTCTGCTACCAGGGTTATTTTGTGACGAATTTTGAAGTTTTTAGTGAAGTTTACTTCCCGGCGGATGGAGGTTATAGCGCCCGAAGTCTTCCCTAAAGTAGTAACAAACCAAAGTTCTATGAAGTACACGAATCACTAACGTGCACAACATCAGGCAGGCTACTAGCGTGGTTTGAAGGTCACGACGCAGGGGGGGCTTACAATCTGCGCATACTATAAAATCCACACAGTTGTAAAATGCGGAACACCACTAAAAAGCGATTAGATAAATCCGGGGTCTTGGTGGCCATATCAGACATTTGGGCACGTAAAGAAATGTGGTACATATTCTTGCTTCTCTTTCGAAATTTTCAACCATTTAAAGTGGGCACCAAAGTATGAGAACTTTCAGGGTTTCAGTACTTAAATTAATGATGAGATTGTAATTCAACTGCTAAAGTATATCACTATCAACTATCACGCATATGATAGTTGGTTGTATACGTACGATTTTTGCTCAGTCATATTCATTTTGGCATAATGAAGACAATTTCCCAATTGCTTGGTAGAAATTCAGATAATGCTTACATTTACTAGCTATATCATAACAGTGTTTGTATTCACAAGTCTATAATGCACGTTCTTTTGATTGTGAATTTTTAGTAAGAAGCGGTCAATATGTAGGAGACTCGTGGCTGGACAGAAGCCACCAACTCCTAAAGAGGGAATGGATCGTGAATCCACAAACATTTGACTCTCTGTACACTTTTATAACACTTGTCCGAGTAGGG